TCGCGGCCTGGTGTCCCAGGCGGGGGGACGCCAGCATCTGGCCAGGCACCAGGGCGTGCCGCACCACCTGAAGGCAAGCGCTGGGAACGCCTTCGGGAACGAACGGTTTCTGCTGCCTGGCCGTAGCTCACGACCCAAGGCCATGCATGAGGTCAAGGTGAGTCAAGGAAGATGATTCTACTTAAACCACCAGAGGGTCCCACTTTAAAGGAAAATGGTCTTCCAGGACCCCTCAGTCAGGTTCCCTGATTGTTGGAGGGAGGGTACTTGAAGAACATTCCAGGGGGACCTTCCCAATTCCATTCCGAACCCCAAAACATCCGAATCTTTGCAGGAAACCATCAGTCGAACCCAGTGGAAGCGGATCCGGCTGTTTGAAAAGAACCATGGCTGAACAGAATGGACAAGGAATCAACCCCTGGAAACACACGCGACTTGCTTCACCAGGAACATGCTCACGCGCCAAGGAAGAACACGCCACGTCCTTGATCAGGAGCCATGGAGCTTTTGTCCTTTCCCCGCCCGACAGGTTTGGGATTGTCAGAATTCAAGAGCATGCAAAAACCGAAAGCTGCTGTTGGTGATGCCACAACTCAATCTGCCCAGAAAGCACTGGGCCACTGAGTGGTCCACTCGCGGCATTGAATCTTAATACTTGACCAACCCAAACGCAGTGCTCCCTAAGAAAGGAAACTTCATGGGTCAACGGATGAGGTCGCAAAAGAACCTGACGTTGCCACGATTTGCTCATCCTCATCCCTTCACGCGGAGAGCAAGATTCCCCTGAGCTTCAGGCATCACCTCCAGACCAGAATTGACGGAGCCACGGCACCTCAACAACGGCTGGCATCACACATGTTTCTCAGCTGCGCCAACCCACTGCTAAGCTTCTTCAGCCACTCACCTGAAGAAGATAGCACCGAGACACCATTGATGGTTAATCAGAACAACGTTCACTCAAAAGCAGGGCGCATAGGCATAGGGCATCCTCAAATCGCATGGAGTCCGTTTGACTGCTGGCAAGACAAAACCATGAGACGACCAACCAACTGGGAACGTACCGTATCTTCGGAAACGCCCACATAAAATCCTGCATTAGGCTTGCCTTGAGCGAGTTTCGCAGATCCTGTCGTGGGCCTATGGCTGTCAGGCTACAGGATCATCCTCCTTGTAGAGCCGCTTGCCCCGGCAGCCCACATCCTCACATGAGCAGCAGCCAAAATCCGCAGCCACTAGAACCAGCTGCTGAAAAGGCAAACAGGTATTTGGAGCACTGCTATCACGATTTCAACAAATCAGTACCCGGATCATATTTGCGTTCATGACTTTTGCCAGTTTCAATATCCACCAGCAAGAAATCACCCATGCTTGAGACATGCAAAATTCGTACCGGACCCCTCTGGATGTTGTTACCAGGAAAACACAAGAGAACCATGAAAAAATGATGTTCTGACTCAACCAGGTACCGGAATTTCAGACGTTGACTGGTGAAAAATGCCATAAACAATGATCACCACCCGTGCCACTGAGCCAAGTTTAGGTTTCTGCCATTCAATGGACCCGAGGCTCTTAGGATCGGCTCAAGACGGTGAGACGGTGACTTGCTCTCCTTACATACACCTGAACATTGCCCTGTCAATACTTTCCCCTTATTTTGGTAAAACAAAGCAATCAAACGGTTGCAAAATGTATCTTTTAAGGAGCCCTGTTGCTTCAAGTCCATTTGACGCTTCGTTTGAGATTCGGTACAGTACCTGTTTGTTGTGGTTTTAAAGTGAAACCAGAAGGACTAGCCATCATTTTGTGGGTGCCCTAAAAAAGAGACACGCCAATTTGGTGAGTCAGTCCCCCACATCCTTCAAATGGACCATAGACTGGCCGAGCCTGTGGTGGAGCTTCCTCTGGCAACTGGGCGAAGGTTGGTGCGAAGGCCACTGTGCTCCAGAGGCCCCGTCCGGCAATTTTGACGTGCCCCAAAAAGACCCAGGCGCCAAATACAGCGTCGGAAAACATAGAAACCTACCCATCCCATTTGTGCTGTTTACGCTGTCTAGCGCTCGGACAAGCAGCTAAGCAAGACACACACCAATGCGCCCGTGGTTGCCCCTTCTCGGGCGAACATGAGCGACTTCGTATGACGCCAAGAGAATCAAAGCCTCCGAGACAGCGGTTCGCTTTGCCCATGGAGGCAATGGTGATTGGCCCTGGGCAAATCGAACGACCCACAGGATCCATTTTGCATGTTTCTCAAACTGGTGGACCACGCTTGGTATTCAAAGCCAACCAAAATGTTGAGGAACACCTTTACGGAGCGTACTCTTTTTTTAGGGGACGAAAATGGTGGTTTGCTGTTCGTTTCCCTTCAAAACCACAAAACCCAGGGCACCCTTAGAAACGACCCCGGCCCACCCCGCCTCATCCCAGACCAATCCCTCTCCGATTGTTTTCCCGCCGGGCTGCTGGGGGCGCACCGAACCAGGCGGTGTTTTGGCCCACGGTGATCCTTGAAACGCGCAAAAAAAAAGCGCGCGAAAACGCGGCGTCGTCCCATTTGTTCTGTGTGTGTGCCATAATTTAGGGGATCTCCGGTTCCTGGGTCCCTTCTTTTCCTTCCCTTGAAACCAGCCCCAAAACAAATATCTGAAAAAAAAAGACACCCAAAGTATCCCAAAAGAGGTCTCCGCTGACTTGAAGCCCTGCTTGGTTTCCTAGCTTCTGTCTTGCTGTCCAAGGGTCGGGCTGTGACTAAAACCCAAGGGCAAGATCGTGTTTTCCCATGTTTTCCCCAAGGAACCTTTGCAAGATTCGGCTTCTCTGTGTTCAACCTTGCTTGGCGGTCGTTGGGCTCTCTGTAGTTGTTGTCCAGCAACCAGACTAACATGTTGACAACATTCAGTCAATACTCTTAACATCTCTTAGCATGGAATTGACCACCAATACATGTGGCCCAGGTGACTCGAGGTGCCGGAAAACGGGCAGCATGATGTGCAGCTTCACTGACCAGCACGGAAGCGCGAGAATGGACCAAAGCGCAAAAACAAGATGCGCAAACAAGCCAGAAGGCAGGCAAGCAGGCACGCAAAGCAAGCAGGATTGACAACGGGTTTTGCGGAGGCTGGCTGGTGGCCTTGCAGCAAATCAAGCCTAGGCATGGGAGGTTTCTTTCTGCGTGGTTTTGAAGGTTGCTTTTTGGGGCAATATGTCCGCGGCTCGGTGCTGGACATGTTCCTGCAAGCACAGCACAATTTCATGAATCTTGTTCAGCTATTTCCTTGCGTGTGTGCCTTTGGCCTGGTCGCTGCTGCTGGCTCCTGCCACAGAAGTTGGAACCACACTCCAAAAACTTGGCTGCTGTTGACCCCCCTGCAAAAAGTTCAACTTTTCGGGGTTTAGTGGAAAACCCCTTGGTTTCCCAAAAGGTGCAAGTCTAAAGATCCAACCCAATAGCAGTCAAGAAATTCGGAGTTTCAACGGTAGCCCCATAGAGATTGTGTCAATCAACTTCAGGCACCTGCTTCCAAGGCCTTCCGGATCCTGCTACTGGCAAGCGGCTGCTGCATGTTCCTCTCCAGGTGCTCCCATTGGAAGGCCTGACGGCATGCCCTTGATGTGTGGATGGGCAGTGTGCCCTCATTTAACATGACGCATAGGGTCTGTCGCTCTTTTCTGAGGCTACCTGTTGTTGTGGTTTTGAAGCCAAAATGACAACGACCATCAAAGGCACAGCCAAGGTCCACAGGAGAATCCCTGCACACTGGGCCCCCTCCTTTCACCGCCTCACTCACAGATTTCACATGTCCAGCTTTTGGGCTGGAAAAAGATCATAGCCGGTGCTATCAGCGTTATTTATTTGATGGGACCTGAAAAACACATGGACAAAACCAAGCAGCTAAAATCGCTACACGCAGGCACTCATTCCATGACCAATCTCCTTATAATGGGATGGTCGCGACATAGGATATCTGCCCAATGATCTCAATCACCTCCAACACGATGTCTCACTGGCCCTACACCCCAAGTCCAGTTCGGCAAACGAAGATGAAAAAAACAAACAAACTCTTGTCGTATTAGATATACTTTAGGCCTGCTTGCCCAGCCCCGGAGCAAACAAACAAATGTTCGCAGTTAAGTGGGGATTTCCCACTAAACCACAATAAGCAACAATGTAAAATGTTTCCCAACAACCATGAAGGAGGTGTCTTACCAAAACCGGGTGTCTTGGCCGTCCCACCTTCCCCGCAGTCCCACCCGCCCGCAGCCCGCCGCCGCCAAGGCCGCACCGATGGAGTGCCCCGTGATGGTCACGTGCTCGCAGCCCTGCAGCGCCTCAACGACCTTCGAGCCCACCTGTGCCCGGAAGTCCTCGATGGCGAGCGTCCGTCGAATGGACTTGGCTGGACTTCGCTGCGGGTCAAACATAGGGTAACCCCAAAATGACTTGCCCTGGCAAATGGAAACATGGACTACAACCCGCAGTGCCCTGAGGTTTAATTTTAACCCATACCCACTTCTTTTGGGGCTTTTTGCGGGGACAAGAAGGAGGGGGGTTGTTTTTCTTTCAGTTGGCCTCACAATAACGGGTACCCTCAGAAAGACACACCGGTAAACGGCGGTTTGGTGGTTTGGACCAATTTTGGGGGCACCGGGAACTGGGAAACAAAACCTCAAACCACCAGTCAACTAAGGCTTACCTGATATATGATCTTTGTTTGCCATGGTTGCACAGTTTTACGAAGAAACGCGAAGACACTACACACAACAGCGGTAGTTTTGATGGTGCCACATGTAGAAGTGACCTTTGTACTCAAGCAAACCACCTCTTGCTTCCGTTTCAAGGAGGGCAAGTCCCTTCAGTGGGCTTGTCACCTGCAAGATCTCGCACCAACGCATGACTGCCAGACAACAGGTTTTTGGCTACTTCTCTTCTTGCCGGGGTTCCGTGTCTCCTATTTGTTGAGCCGCCATGTGGCTGGGAATTCCAGCTCTCAAAATGGGTGAGGCTTCAGTGGCACAGCCCCGCCCAGGTGAAGGCAAGCGCTCGTGATGTTTCAAAGTCGACTATGCGGGTCCCACCATCGGAACATTGCTGTAGCAAAAGAAGGCTCTAACCATCAAAGTGGACAAGCCAAACAGGACGGGCATATTTATATGTATATCCGCGCCGTGGACCCCCGCCCGCCCCTGTGGGGTGGGTCTTCCCCCCACAAGGGTAGGCCCCCCGCCCCTGTGGGGTGGGTGGGTGGGTGGTTGGGTGGTTGGGTGGTTGGGTGGTTGGGTGGTTGGGTGGTTGGGTGGTTGGGGTGTGGTTGGGGTGTGGTTTGGGTTGGTTTAGGGTTAGTTGGGGTGTGGTTTCGGGTTGGTTTAGGGTTGGTTTAAGGTTCGTGTAGGGCTGCCGAAACTCCTTGGGCAAAGTCGCCAGATGCTTCCTGCAACAAACCGTCTCAAATCAAATCGTGCCTTCCAAGGGTGCTGCAACTGTCCCCAAAAAGATTCAGTTCCCACACGACCCGTGCTAAACCCAGGCAGAAGCGGTTTGAAAAAAGGCCCCGGCCTGGCCATCATGGGAACTTGTCTACCCAAGCCGGGCGAACCGGACTGTCCTCGTATACCTCCCAATAGAAGCGGTGGAAGCGGTGAGAGCCAGCTGTGAACTCCTTGACAGCCTCCAGACTCCCCGATGAATTCCGCCGGAGATTCACCGGCTTGTAGTCCATAATGCCTTCGTTGAACCAAACGCTGGTGAAACATCCGAAAGGCCAACTGGGGATATCGATGCTACATATGCAATGATTCAAGCTTCCAAAGCATGTGCAGGCTAATCTGTGTCACTGCTTCAAACCATAACTTCGGCCTTCAACTGAGAGGTACCCGAGTTGTTTGTGATCTGTGTGCGCATTTTGCGCAACGGAAGGCGGCAAGTTTCAAGAGGCTCCAAGCCTGGCGAGCAATCAGACACAGGAAGGATCAAACAGTCAACCAGCAAGCGGGCACCATTGGGACAATATGCGCCGGTCAAAAATGCCCTGGACGGGCTGTGTATGAATATCATGGCATGGCATCGCCAAAAAGACTATTGAGCATGCGACCGCAATGCGCAACTTGATCAAAGAACTCGTCTGCCTACCACCAAGCTCAAATCATGTGGGCATGATTTTTAATTAGAGACCCTTTAGTGGACATCATTTGGCTGAGGATTTGTGTCCTCCAAACAGGAGGTCCCTTATAAAAAAACAACTCATGGCCCATTGAATTTCAACGCGAGCTCATCTTATTTGCCCAGAGGGATTGAAACTACAATAGTCATGTAAGAGTCATGTAAAACTTAAAGAACACTGATTCAACTTGCTCAAAGCAGATTGAAAGCAAGAGGCGAAAAGCGACTCCTGTTCGGACCAAATTTAGTCGGACAAGCGGAAAACAGGTTTGGGGAACACATATCCAACCAAAAGAAGCAAGCAAAAAAGACATCACCAAATGCAACACACACACAGACAAACAGCGCATCAAAGAAAACAAAACAAGCCACACACAACAACACCAAAAAAAACACGACCTTGGAAAACAATCACAAGCAACAAACCAACATAACAACAACACAAATCAAGCAAAACCAAGCCGAACAATCCAAAACAAACAACAGAGCACAAAACTAACTAAGTAACTAAGTAAGTAACTAATAACTCACGGACGGATGGACGGATTGAAAAGCTGACTGACTGTCTAACTGGCAAACTGACTAACTCACTGACCAAGTGCCTAACTGGCTAACTGACAACCTGAACAACTTCCTAACAAACAATACCAGTAGAGCCGGCAGAGCCGGTGGGCGGAAGTTTCTAAAGCGAGAAAAGTGCCTATAGGAAGAGCTTGACTTGTTTGTTTTTGGTCGCGCTCTTTCTTTGTCTCTTTCTTTTTCTTTCTCCTCTTCCCGAAGAGTGTATCTTTGGCCTCCACACGCTGTTCACAAAAGACAGTCCCAAACAGAAGGACTCAAGACTGGGGGCAGCACTTTCGCAAGGTCAGGTGCAGATAGATAGATAGATAGATAGATAGAGAAATAGATAGAAATAAAGAAAGAAATACAGAAAAAAAAAAGAGAAAGAGAAAGGAAGAAAAAGAACGAAAACACGAAAGAAAAAAAGAGAGAGACAACGAGAAAGAGGAAGTGCAGAGAAAAAAGGTAGGAAAGAAAGAAAGAAAGAAAGAAAGAAAGAAAGAAAGAAAGAAAGAAAGAAAGAAAGAAAGAAAGAAAGAAAGAAAGAGAGAAAGAAAGACAGACAGACAGAAAGAAATAAAGAACGAGAAAGTAAGGTGCCTTAACTGCCACTGTGGGTGTTCGTTGACTGCCACCGCAAGTGCAGATACTGGGCTTCACCCTGTCAGTTTGGGGTTGTAGGCGGAGCCACTCGAACGGGGGAAAGGTGGGGCACTGATCTTTTGGAGGCCAAAGATAAACTCTTACGGTAGGGCGGTCCCTGTTTTAAACTGCGCCTGCCACGAAATCTGTACTTGGCCTCGCGAAAGCGCTGCGCCTGCCACGAAATCTGTACCTGACTTTGCGAAAGTGCTGCGCCTGCCACGAAATCTGTGCTCGACCTTGCGAAAAGTGCTGCGCCTGCCACCTTCGTCTCTGTCTTTGTCTCTCTCTTCCCATTTGATCTAGCTATCCATCTATCTATCACCTGACCTTGCGAAAGTGCCGCGCCTGCCACGAAATCTGTACCCGACCTTGCACGGGCACAAAATGCTGTGCAGTGGGCAACATTCCGAGCACGTGGCGAGACCGCACGCTGAACAGGGGTACCCTTCGCGTGTTTCGCATGTCTGACTCTACTTTTCATTTTACGGAAGTTTTCTAACTAAACTTCCTTTGATAATACACTGGCAAACTGACTCGCACACCAACCAACCAGCCAACCAACCAGCCAGCCAGCCAGCCAGCCAACCAGCCAACCAGCCAACCGGCCAGGCAGGCCGGCAGGCAGGCAGGAAGGCAGGCAGCCAGCCAAACACGCAACACAAACCAACAAACCAACCAACAACAAACAAAACAAACCAACAAACCAACCAACCCGACTACAAAACACACATTAAAAACAAGAAACAAACCAACAACCCACACAAACCAACAAACACAAAGAAAAACAAACACAGACACCATCAAACACACAAGCATACACACATGCAAACCGACAAAGCAGCCAGGAACACACACCAGCAACCCGAAACCAAACCAAGAGGTTCAAAGACTGAACTTGCCGCGAGGGATTCCTAGGGCCCCCGCCTGCCACGAAGTTGAGGTTCGCCGCGCCGCTGAAGGCCAAAGTACAGGTGGCGGGTTTCCTAGGGCTCGGAGCGCGCGGCTTTTGGCTGAGCCGAGGGCTTGGGGCGGGGAAGGCAACGGGAAGCCGAAAACACAACTCCATCTTGAAGCCCGAAGGAAACATTGGGCCTGAAGAAGTGACATGAATGAACATCATGATATGAACATTTGGGCAAGGAAACTAAGCTTCAGGAGGGAAACAGGGCACTCTTGGAGAGAAGGTGCGCCAAAGCCGCGAAGCATTTAAACAGAACAGTACCTACTCCACCTCAAGTAGAATAAATAACAATGTAACACAACAACGGCCTTCTTCCAAATCATCTGGTTGGATTGTCTTCCAGAACCCTGAGCTTTTCGGGGCTATCTTGCTCGGATTTATTCATCAGGCCAAAGGCGCTGGGGCAATGCCAGATTTGGTTTGCCTCAAAATAGATTCGGTATCCCAAAAACCGATGCTTGCAGGGTTTGGCAGCGATCTCTCGGCTTGCTTGCTGGCTTGGTGTTTGTTCTTTTCATCAGGCTGAGATGTTGTTTTCTTCGCATCCCGTCTAAACTAAAATGTGTTCTGAAAAGCAACCAATGGGGGCAGGTGCCACGTTTTGGAGGCGCCGCCCTCTAGAGAACAGAAATAGCATACCTCCCAAAGGAAATGATCCTTCCACCTTGCAACATTCCAGAGCAACCCGGGAGGGAGGGCGGGAGGGCGGGGGCTGGGGGGGGGGGGATGTCGAAGAAATATCGGACTCCGCTGAGTTGCTCTTTTCCCCGCCATCCAATTTAAACGGCGGCGCCGGCAGAAGCGGAACCGGCCATCTTTTTCACACCAAAAAACGCCGAATTCGGGATTGCTTCCCGGCGAGATCCAGGCTGGGTCAGACTTCGCAGGGGTCCACCCCAGACCGGTCATAGTTTACAGTGCAGGTACTGTGGAAGAGGAATCAAATGCAGCCTTGCAGGGTCAAAGAGAACATCAGTGAAATAGGAAAGCAAGTAGCAACTGGCGATGAGTGCAAAGCATTCTCCTGAGCAACTGCATCCAAAAATAACAAGACATAACGACCCAGACTTTCCGAAGGCTCAACATTGCACCACTTCAGAATTGATAGCCCAAAATGCATGCGCAGCGAAAGGTCTTGTGGCTCCTCAATTACGGTAGAGCCAGTGAAGTGGTCGAAACTGAAACATCGAAAAGGGATCAAAATTGCCAAACCAACCTCCCTCGCGCCTTGCTGGTTTTCGACCTGCACTGTCATGCCTGCATGCCAACATGCTTACGGCCGCCTTCCTTTCTCATGCTGAGGGGCATGGCACATCGACCCACCAGGGCAATCGGCTCGGTCCACTTCACCTTGGCCAGCACGGCGGAGACGATGCCTCTGCTCTCCAGCTTGTAGTAGAAGTCCTCAGCCAGAAGCGGCAAGGTGGAGGGGTGGGGAGCCGGGTCACGGCTAAGACTTTGAGGGGCACGCCCACCCCGGGCTTTTCAACTTGGCTAGGTCCTCCAGTAGAGAGGGTAAATCAAGGGTACCCCTTTTTTCTGTTGTCTATTTCAGTAGGGGAACCCTCCCAACCAAAAACCGGTGAGAAAGGGCACTACTGGGGGACCTAGTTGAAATGGACCACAGGCACAGTCCTTTGCAAGCGGACTTCATACCTCCCGAGCCCCACAAGGCTCGCAAAAAAAATGTTTGTCAAGCGAAGCAACAAGGGAACCAACACATCTATGGATTGGGCCGCTTGGCAACTTGCGGATGGGGTTATCTCTACAACCCAATGAAGGAAAAGCCTCCCAATTGCTGCTCACAGAGACACCATGCAAACAAATCCAGAGTATAGTGGAAAAGGCCATTCCATGACTTCTTCATTCTCTCACACAACATGTGCCCAACAAAAAAAATCGAAACGTATAGAAACTTCCCAGCGTGGTGCTCAAACCACTGTGGTTTCCGCCAGAAAAACCAAGCAACCTTTACCCCACCCCGCCACCCCGGAGCTGAGATCCTGGCGCTCCAGCTGTAGCCTTGAATCAGCGCGTTGAAACGCTGGGCCCCAGAAACGGGCTTTGGGGCCTTGGGCGCCCCAAGGCCCCCAACTTCTGGAGAAAAACCACGTGGATTCTTGAAGAACAACCAGGCAAACACAGTAGACCGGCCACTTATCTGGGTGAAGTATAATATTTCACCAGCCTGCAATAAGGTGGTCCGGGAGCTATTCCCCACAAAAACCACCATTTGGGGTGAGGTCGTGTGAGGTCGTTATAATTCACCCAGGCTTATTCTTGGTGGTCATCTATCTACAAGAAGCAAGCACCATGCCGCGTATACCCTCGTGGCTATGCAAGTAAAGCCCTCGCTACAAAGGAAACCGACCCCTCGGTTAATCCCTTCGCGAAAGGCATGCTTGTAAAATATGTACAGGAGCCCTCGCGGTGTGTCCGTTAAAGCTCGTCTTGTCCATAAGCTCAGCAGTGCTGCTTTAAAGCAAACCGTCAAGTGAACAGAAAACACCGTGTCAGAATTCGGCCGTGTCAAAACATGTCAAAACGGCCTTGCCACACAGTGTTTAAGACAAATAAGCCCAAGACTGGGCAAATGACAGGTCGATCGATGAAACCAAACCATAATCGGGACATGACTCCCATTATAGGACTCGACCCGAGGCGGGCTTGTTTTTGTAAATGGAGATAATTCGGTAAAAAAGGGGCCTAACGTCCAGGCATGCCCACGGCTGCATGCAATCTTGGCTGGCTGTCAGGCAGGCACATTGGCGCCGTCGGGGGGTGATCTTTTTTGTTGCACCATATTATGTGCAAAGATATGCCAGTCACACCCGAGTAGGTTTGCGGCGGAATTTCCCCCTTCAACAATCCTCACAATCTGTCAGCTAGACTCATCTAGACCAGGTCACGCTCCTTTCCAACAGCTATATGGGGCTGTCTTTTCTTTCAGGATACCCCCTTGTTTGTTGGTTTTACAGGAACGCCAAAAGGAACCCGATGCCATTTTGGCGGGTCACCCTAAAAACAAGACGAGCCACCAACGAAGCCCCCCATGCATGGTTGCCCAAAAATCAGAGGTCCACTAGGGTCCCGATACTTTCCACTTTAACCATCACCCCACCAAAGGAAGAACCCGTTCAAAGGTCCAAAAAGTGATGGTTTAAACCATCAAAAGAGAAATGTAGTGAACCCTAACCTTAAAACGACACACCTACAAAGCCCCCCCATTGCCACAAATCAGACCCACCTGCGTTTTCTCATATCAAAGGGCATGAAAAGATGTCCTTGGCGTAGCTCTCGAGTGACCGTATGCCCTTGTCATCATAGGACGTCGCGACCTGCGGCTCGAGAAACGAGAGACGCGATTCCCGAAGAGCGCGCACGTGCTCGTCTTTTGTGGGAGCTCCCACCAAGTAACCCGGTCCTCGTTTGGGTGTTGCCCCATTTTCCTTTGAACCGACCCCCGAACGTGGCTGGATGCTGACTGGGAGGGTACCAAGAGTTTTGGATGGCTTTTTACCACAAGGGTATCTCGTGAGAGACCACGTCAGCTCCCTTTGACCTCCCTTAAAACACCCGTCAAGAAAGGTGTCCCTCATTTTAGGACCCACACAGTCGCTTCACATCGCGAGCAGACGCACAAACGCACATCCTCTGGCAAGGCGCCATGCGAGCCAGCTGCGACTCCAGCGCCATAGTGCCGCAGGGGCAGTGAAAGTCACCTGAAGACGTTGTCAAAATGTTTGGTCTTGGCTGGAATTAGGACCCCAGCAAAAAACACCAATTGTTTGCCTGGTTCGTGGAAAACAGAGGGGACCCAAAAGCAAAAACATAAAAAGGGGGAACTAATTCTGGGAAAGTGGTAAGGCGGCACGAGGCGCCACGAGGGTCTGAGATGGGGCCACTGTTTTGGGCAGCCATGGCCGCTGATGATCTGATGAGGTTGGGGAGGGCGAGAGTGTCTACCTGCCGATTGGAGGGTGAGAGGAAAACAAATGCACGGTGGTCAATTTGAGGCTCAATCCGGTCCATTAAAGCAAGGGCGGCTGAGCAACCGCCGCTTTGATGATTGTAAATACAAGGTGACTCAGGGCGGTCCATGCAGGATGCAAACACAACATGCCATATCGGTATACATACCTATACATAAAAATATGTTCGCAAGATGAGGATGTAGAACTTGGGCCTAGAAGTTATGATTGCCGGCCATATATCAACAGCTGCAACCAATTGCAGCAACACTGTGTTGCTCATGCCTCGCTGAAGGGAAAGTGTTCTTCAGCTCAAGCCACACAGATCCGTTGGCTCCAACACATGAGGCTGGCAGGCCTTCTGGCCAGCTGCCACCGAAATAGAAGTCGTAGAGCCATGGTGGGTGTGCAAGCGAATCATCAAAACGGCCACATATTTGAATACATACAAAGTGGCCTTCACGTTGCAGTTTGACTGCTGCATGGTTCTGGGCGGTTTCTGCATAGCATCTGGGATGGTTGTGCGTGTGCACGTGTGCGACGACATGGACAATCTCAGCCAGCAGAGTACAACAGTCAGGTCAGCAAAGCAGAACAATATGTTCATGCACTCGCTTCAGCTAGGCCGCTTTTAAGGCTTGATAATGCTGACCCCCGATTAATAAACCCCAGTTTATTAGTATGGGGGGGGTGTTCCCCTCCAAAAGTGCTAAATCCCAACTAAAACCAGGGAAACCCCCATAATAAACGTTTTTTTAAATCCGGGGTCAACATTAACCTGGGCCATTCCCATTATTCCTTGGTCAGCTTCCGGGAAACATAAAAAAAAAGGTGGGACCCTTGGTATCACCAAAACCGGCCGTCGACCGCCCTCCCCGAGCCGAGCCGCGCGCTGCGTCGCTCCCCGGCGGGCCATTCCTCTCGAAGCGCGCGGCCGCCGCGGCGGCCGCCAGGCTGAGGAAGGCGAGCCGCATGGACGGGAGAGAAGGGCCAGGCCGAGCTGCAAATCCAATTTGGAGACAAAGCCACTGGGGTTTTAACCGAGACGAAAAAGAAGGAGAAACAGAAGGAGACTAAAGCGTTGACTCGAAAGGAGGCAGACCAATCTCCGCGGAATGTAGGGCATCGCTTCCTCTGCAGGTTTGCAGCACCTGTGTATTTCGCAAACTGCGACAGCTGGTTTGAGCCAATGTCAACACAAGACACTAGACTATGACGGCAACATTCAAAAGGCTATGAGGGCAATGCATGCTTCCTTCCAAACTTATAACAAACGCGTATAGGAAAAACCACGCAGGCGTCCAAACCGGATGGCCAGGGATGATCGAATTGTGCCCAGCCTAACAGTCCCGCATGCTTGCCATGATAAATACCTGAACACGTGCAAATAGTGTCCCATCGTCAGTAGGAGGGGCAAGCTCCGGAAGAATCTCGCGGACAAGCACCCCAACATTCCATTTGATTAAGCCCCCGGAACAAAAACAAAAAAACATAAGAGCATATGTCCAGTAGTGATACATTCCGCTTAAAACCAACAAGCGACAATAAAAAAAAACAAGCACAACATTTCAGCAAATGGAGGCAACAAACCGTCCAGGATCCAACCTCATCCTACTGTTTGCCCCAAGAAGACCCTAATGAGGCTCGATTCGGGTGCTATTCTGAAGCAACAGGAGGGGGGGTGGCTTGAATCTTATGGGACTGACGGGCCACGTCCCTATGGCTCCTGCTGGACAAACAGACTGCCCATACCTTAACGACTTAATTCTTCGAAGCATCTTGTCAAGATCGATAACATGCCGATGCTGGACAAAACAGAGAGACAAAGCAAGATTCCTACCTCAAAATTGCCAAGGTGTCTCACTGCTGCTTTCAGGCCTGCTGAATCCCAACTGTGTTCTCTTTTAAACATCAACCATGCGGCAAAAAAAAAAAACACCCCCTGCCGACGCCGAGGAATGCGTCACTTTTCTGGCGCCTGCCGGCCTGCCCAGAGATCCAGGGATCGATCCGGAGATCCAAAGTTTGGCAGCTTGGCCTTAGGTTGCGCCCGGGCTGGGGTTGGGGTTCCGGTTCGGGTTTCTTTCCTCTTTTTTTTGGGGGGGGAGGGGGGTTCGGGTTGGGGTTGGGTTTTTTGGGGGGAGGGGGGGTTGGGGTTGGGGTTGGGGTTCGGGTGGGGTACCTAATGCGAAAAAGGGACCCGACGACTTGCCAAGCAAACGCCAAGTGCGGATTTTTGGGTCGGAGACTCCAGCTGTGTACCGTCACTCCAAGAACCATGCGTCAATACATGCACAGTTGCCGCTTCTCCCGTTTTTTCTGGCTGTAACCAGTTTGTTTGTCTTCTTCTTCATTTTTTTTTTTTAAATCAAATTTGTGATTTTGGAGGGCCATTATCACGGGTATCTTTTTTCCAAGGTCGGTTGAAAGGATCCGTCAAAGAAAAACAAATGAGACCAAATCGTGGATTGCCCGGCTCCACATCCCGCCCAAATCGGCCACCGCGCGCTTGTCCGCAACGTTGTGAAGGGCCTAGGTGCGGTCAATGGTCGTCTATGGCCCGTCCAGTAGTCAATCTGGTTCTCAGGGAGCAACAGCAACTTTTGGCTGCGAAAACTAAGGATACACGGAAAGCGGCACCTCCCAACGACACCGCTGGTTTGGAAACATAGTGTTTTGTGCGGGGGTCACCGGTGGTTGGAAAACTGATCGAGTTGGAATTCTGAAAAACTGGAATTGGAGACAAACCCAATGCTACCAAGATTTACGTAAGCAGCAACCATCGGGCAAGGCAAGCAAGCAAGCGAAGCTGGGAATTCGCGCCGATCTTGCCTCCGGACTTTCAAGTGGGGAAAGACATGTTGCAGGTGACAGCACCTGCAAAACCAAGGCCGTTGCGCAGAGGACATGGATCCGAACAAGGAGCCATGAGTCATACAAAAGCAAATGGAATAAGCCACCCAGGGACCAAGCAAACGTTCAAGGCATCAAGCCATTGCACGACAAAACCATGCAAGGGAACTGCATACCTTGATTTCATGTAAGAGCGACACCTGTACTGTCGAATATCTACATTTCATGTCCCTCAACAACATCCACCAATTCCTTAACGCCTCAATAGGTATTGGCTGCTCCCACCAGACAATCGAGCGCTAACGTTCTATTGTGCCGGGGGCAAGACACGGTCGACGCGCGCCTTCTGCCGAGGGCAGCGTAAACACGCAGATGGAGGAACTTCGTGGAAGTGAGTTGTCGCGTGCGAGAACACAAAAGCAGCCACACAAGTACCTGGAGTCTCCTTCTGACCCTTAAGAAATGGGTCCATGACTCCATTATTTTGGGTA